TGCATTAAATAGTTGATTTTGCTAGGGTTTGAGTATCTTGAATTTGGCTGAAATTTGAGATCTCTTAGATTTAGGTTTTCTTTGGGCTCTAGCGGCGTCTAGAGATTTGGGAGAGATCGATCCTCCTCTCGAATTGAGGATCAATTGTATCTTTGTTGTTTTATTCATCTACTAGTGAAATACAAGTGTTTGTGTGGTTTTCTCCCAGTTTTCTACCGTTTTCCTCTGATTTGGTGCTGATTTCTGCTGTAAACAGCAGAACTCCTGCTGGTTGCTCATCCGTTTGGCTTAGGAGTGCTTGCGAACTCAAGTATTACCTTAGGGTTACTTGTGGACTCAAGTATTTCCTATCAAATTGCTTGAGAAGCTTGAGCAAGAAATAAAAACAATAATTTGGTATGAAAATCAACGTGCAATTAAGCTAAAGATGAACCAGGTATACTATGTAAGAAGTAAGAACCAAGCACATTGACATTAAGTTGCATTTAATCAGCAACATTCTAGCTCAGGATACTGTGGATGCTCAGAAAGTATACAAATATGAATCCCGTAGATAATGCGTGCTAAGATAGTGACTGGAACAAGATTCTAACAATGTCTAACTTTGCTTAAGGTAGGTAGACTTCCCGGATAAGGAGTTGTTGGGAGAAAAGGGGGGTTTAGCTTGTCTACCGTTTGATTTAACGTGAAGATTGTTATTTTTTTTAATCAAATATTAGAATTATTTAAAATCAAATATTAGAGGCTAATGGTGTGATGATCTATAGCAACTTATAGAGAATAAGGTGTTTTCTCTTGCAATTAGGATTGGAGGTCGATTGTGCTAGCTAAGGTTGTTTCTTCAATATTTACCTTCGAATATTGACCAAAATCAGAAAGAAAACACGTAACATTGTTCTTTCTTATTCGTTCATGATTATTTGCTTTGTTTGATTTATGGTTCTTAATCAGTAATTGGTTTTGTATTGTTAATAAATACCATTGTCCCGCCTTCTCCCTGTGAATATAGGCAATCCATGCCAAACCATGTAAATCGCCCATGATCTTGATTTTATTATATATATAATGTCTGTCTGTGTGAACTCTATGTTAAGAGATTTAGGCACTATTTGGTTGGAACTATTCGTAATGTATTGCATTTTGAATGCATGCATTTTAAATTTCTTATCATTTGACTGGAAGAAAAGCATATGCGGTAAAATTTCAATGTATTTGAAATACACCCTCCAATTCATTTTCAATATATTTGAAATTTATCTTATTTGAGTGAATTCCAATTACATTGTTTGTGTGAAATAATGTCATATAAAATTTCAATTCCACACCCACCGCTTGCATCACCACCCTCCTTTGTTGATCATTGCTAGTAACTGCCAGTAAATAAATATATATAGCTTTAATAACCTCAACATAACTTTGGCAAGATCCTTTCTACCTTTAATGTTAACTAAATCAATTAACATAGTACAATCATATACCTTCTCAAGATAAACAAAATACATTAAGAATCTTTTTGCGCTATCAATACTATTCCATTAATTACATTAGCACAAATATCTCCTCCAGTGTGATTTTTTTCTAGCATAAAACCAAATTAATTCTCCAATAATTATACCATGTTACAAAATATAAGTTCCATTAGGGTGTCAAAACGGGTTAACGTGTCGAATTTAAGTCCAACCCAATTTGACTCGGGTCTAAACGGGTTGACCCAAACCTGACCCGGCTTTGCAAACGGGCCAGGAATTCTAACTCGGATCCAACCAGCTGGGTTACCCGTTTGACCCGACCCAACCCGCTAAACCGGAACACGGGAATAGATCGGGGACGATCTGCACAGATGCGAGCGTGAGCAGGTCTGTGACGTTTAGGTGCATACGCGACTCATGCGAGGGCAGGAGGGCATAGTTGCGAGCACCAGAGGGGCTGGCAGCCAGCAGCGGAAGCAAGCGAGGGAGGGGCCAGCAGCAGATGCGAGTGCGGCTTGTGGGAGTGGCCAGTGGCGTGCTCCCGACGCAACTTTCAAGAGTACCGTCCGATTGGAACAAAGTTGGAGGAGGCGGCAAAGTTTGGACTCTTTCAGAACTCTACTTTACGATGCTTGCGAGGAGAAGAAAAACAATGAATAAATGCAGAAGAGGAAAAGCAAACCCTAAAATCTAAATTGACTCACTCAAACCTTTACCCCGCGCGAACCAGGAAGCTCTGCCTCACGCGAATGAAGACGTCCTCCTCACAGTGTCATGCGTGAATGAGAAAGAGATCGTAAACCATTCGTTGTCGGTCAGTCCGACTACAAAGCCGGTCAACACTCCGTGTGTGGGATGCGCGATCGCGATCGTGAGTGCGGGTCGACTGTGCGACTGTGGGAGCCGAAGGTCATGAGGGCAACACATCTTCATATTTTTGGTCAACCTGGGTTGATTTTGAGTTTCCGCGTCAACCTGAACCCGACCCGATTTTATGAACAGGTCAAAATCTCGAACTCAAACCCAACTTGTATGACAAATGATTTGACTCGAACTCAGAATTTTCCAAATCGGTTCGGGTCGGTTCAGATTTTGACACCCCTAAGGTTCATAACTCTAACAAAAAATTTTGTTGTATGAATCATAAATTTGATTAACCTGTACTTATCACAGTCTAGAAGATCTCATATATTCTTGAATATTGATACCAAAATGCAACTTCACCAATCATTTGGCAACCTCTTAGTTTCCATAATTCTATAAACAAATTTTCATTGAATATCACCAATAATTCTCCAAATCTCAATAGGTATCCATCTTGACCTAAAGATTTACCTTTATGCATTTTTCTAAAATACTAACTCCACTTCATTTTTTTAATCACTCTATAAAGTAGCCTAATATTTTATTTATTATACTCTTCTAAATAAAATCTTTCCTAAACTCTCCCAATATTTTATTTTCTACTCCCTTAGAACCTACTTATTATATAAATCATAAGAAATTATAACTTTTGTTTTGCAAGTTAAACTCTTTTCAAGATATTTATCTTCCTTAATAATTATTTTAAATCTCTAAAATTTTTATTTTTTTGTCACTTCTTAAAGGAGCATTTCTTTTTCAAAATAAAACCTTTATGCCTCCTCATTCCACAAACAACCATTCTTATATACATTGTAATTAAAAATATTCCAAGAACTTTTATGGCAATATTTTAAGTAAAAGGAGCTACATTATCCTAAATCATTAAGTATGGCTCATTATGGAGTTGCATTTGCTCCCCCCCCCCTCCCCCCTTAAGAATATATCTTGCAATATCACAATCATGTCAAATTTTACAATTTACCCTCTTTTCCTAGGACAATTATTTCTTTGTATAGCTTTATTCATACACAACAACACCACCACCACCACCAACATCAAGCCTTTATCCCACTACATGGGATTGGCTACATTAGCCCTTTTTCTCTATTGTATCTTGTTAAGTGTCCAATTCTTGTTTAAATCTAATAAAAAAGACCATTTCTATTATTTTCTAACTAAGTCTTTTTAGGTCTACCTCTATCTTTCTTAACATAAATCAAATCTAACACATCTACTCTCCTAACCTAATCATCAAAAGGCCAACATTTTATATGTAAAACATCTAAGGCGACTCTCTGTAATCTTATCGGCCACTGGAGCTACTCCAACATTTTTCACTGATCTTCCATGGAGCATTCTTTATACACTTAATAAATAAAACCATAATCAAAAGGCCATATTGTGTGGTCTAACTTTCTTTAGGAATCATCTTACAACCTTTTTAACGAAATTTTCTTCCCTCCAAAGTTAAGAAAAACTCTAATTTAGATTTGTTGCTACTCTTTTAAAAGTAAATAAAAATACTTATCATTTTTCAGAGTATATTTTGTGATTACAAGATCATATAATAATATGAAATCAAGTATAGTTTCTCATATTTTAACCTCAAGAAATGCAAAACCACAAATAAAACATTGATGGTTTTATTCAAAGTCAAGTTAAAAATTCCCATGCAGATAACAGCAAGAATGCTCATTCAGAAATTAAGGAAAGAAGTTCATCAAATAAATTATCAATTCACTTGATAAGTCTCATTAAGTTACCATTACGAATTTGAAGAGTAACTTTAACTTCAACATTACCAGGTAATATAAGCTTTGGTTATAAAATTGTTATAAGAAAAAATCTCCCAATGCCATATTAATAATGAATTTAAGCCTCCTCTAATCTTTCGATTTCAATCCAAATAACTACAAAAAAAAACCCTATTTTGCACTAACCTAGGAGCTTTATGATTGCTATCTAATCTTCAATGACAGTGTAATCAAATTGCTTTAGAATTTCTAAAGTTGCAGCTAACTCGGAAGGGCTAAGTGTAGCAAATGGATGAAAATTCCAATTAAATTTTAGATTTCAATACGTGACATTTCACCTTTTGTGGATTGATTCAGTTTTGCAAAACAAAACAAAAGAAAATGTGATTATAGAGTTAAATACATGCTAAGAAATTAGTGTTTAACAACTATATTAAATAAGGAAACTAAAGAATTTTTTAGTGAGTTATCACTTTCTGTTATTATCAACATGAGAAAAATTACAATCAAGAAAGCCATGAAAATGAAAATATCTTTTATTTCAGATTTTGAGATAAAATCTGCTCATATCTACATCGCTTGAAAATTCAATTGGAATTAAAAATAGGCCCTTTTTGGAAGAATCTAAATGTTTTGTTTGCATTGCGAACCTGTGCCAATTCTAGAAATCTTATTACATGAAAGTATAGAATGATGTCACTCCTTTTTAAAATTCATATGTCCCCAAACATAATAAAGCTAGATCAAAGAATTTTCTTAAGTATGCTATGTCAAAAATCAACAATATCAGCCTCCATGCGGAAGGTATTTTAAGATGCCAGAAAACAACCAGAGACATTGAGTTTCTGCAAATGAAGGCACAAAACAAAAAAAAAAAACAAAGGAAATTTGGTCAAGAAAATAAGTAACATACTTTAATATGCCTATCCACTGGACAAATATGCACATTCTCCAGTCTTAACTCGGTGTGGGCCAATCCATGGCTATGCAAATAATTCACCTGAGAAGTAAGAAGAAACATGTGAAACTAGAGCAGTCCGGCAGTACGCCTGGCTATCAGGTTGATTTGGATATAGAAAAGTGCTTACACCAATTAAAAGATCCCTCATTATTATTCTAATAAGGCGTAATTGCCGAGTTACATCAGGCCCTCCTATGGTGTCATCCCCAACCCGCCTAACCCATTCTTCATCCAAAGCTAGGGTTGCCTCTAATGTCGGAAGCCAGTCCGATAACAGAAGCCAATGCCTCAGGGAATAGCTCCCTTGATACTGCAAAAAGAAAGAGGTCCAACAAGATGTCAATCGTTAATATAAATATAAATTTCACGTTCTTCCACACCTTACTGCTTTTCTTTTAACCAAAAGTCAATCACCCCGCTAAGATTCAGGAAGATCAAAACCTCAAAGACAATGTACCAAAAAGAGGGAACAATTTATGAGCTCAAAACTCTTCTCCTTCCAACATATGAAAATAAGAAAACAAACAAAATGAAAGTAGAGACAGAGTCAATTCATTTTATACAGATGAGAAATCACAGAAAAAAAAAAAAGTAACGGTATCAGAGATCAATTCATTCTTGAAATGTCATCATCATCAGCACATCTAATCAAAAGGACATTTAAGTCAGAGATCAAAGATTCTTACACCATGCACCAGGATGAACGGGTCTCCCTCCTCGCTGCCAGATGGGGAAACATAACCATGAACTTGCATCGCGTAAGAGTGATACATAAGCTGCCGCCGCACAAGCTTCTTCAAAACCTACAACATACAAGAAAATGCGCACGTCAAACGTCTCTTTCGGCTTTCACAGAAATGCGAAAACAAAAACTCTTAAACAGGCCCCCACCTCCAATGCTCGTCTACCTCGCCGCTTCGCTTGCGCGCTAGTGAGATCTCGAAGCACTACCCTCGAGTTATACAACGGGCTGCACAGTTCCCAAAATCCCAACAATTCGAAAAATTTCACATTCGAACTTATAATCGGAATCAAACCAAGCTTAAGCACAAACTCCACTCACCTATTGGAATCCCTAACCGTGGCCTCAAAGATCACCTCGTCCCTCTACAAAACATTCAAACATAGATCAATCGACATTCGCTATCCAAAGCCAATAAAGCCAACCCAAAACCTTAACGAGACTGTAACGCACTCTCCCCTGGAGGCCAACGCTCACGCGATCGCAGATGGCGAAATCCGACATCCTGAACTTGCGGACGGGGCCTAAATCCCCATCTGAGAAGGATAACTCAGACGTCCGATCGCACGGCTGAGAACCTTTCTCCGGAGCTGTCCTCCCAGTCCCAGCGGAGCATCTCGGCCTCCATCTGATGGAAGGGGAGAACGCAAGAGAGGAGGCGCAGAGAGGCATAGTGGTGGGCGGCGACGGGATCAGAAGCAGATGAGAGATACGGACGCAGATACTTATACGTAAGAGGGAGAAGGCAGGTTGCGTGGCGGCGAGTGCCGGAAGCGTTCCGCCATGAGCATCTTGCGGGTCGGCCTCACTCTCTTCCCGGGCGGCCTACGCTGGAACGAAAGATGGTGACCAGCGGGGACCATAATGTAAGATGCTAATTTTAGCGATATATTGGCGTGGTCCTTTATTGATGTTACATTATTCTGTGCACATTTATCAGTCCTGAATGAAATATCAGCGGTGGCTTTCAGACCTCGGATACGATTTTTATAGAATAGCAGGTAACTTATAAAAATATCTAAGAAAATATAGAAAGGGATAGTGGCCTCAATATTTGACTTAGAACAAAAACGAAGATTTGCCAAGAAAATTATGAGCTCCATAAAAAGTGCAAGATATCCCATCGGGCTTAGAAGGGTTGGTGGGCGTGCTTGGTAACCCCCCATTTTAAGTTCAAATTCCCTCTCATACGGCACGACTCCTTAATTGGAGAGAAAAGAATTGTGGGTCATGCACCTGTGGGGTTGGTTGCTAGTAGACTCGCCGAGGGATTAGTGGACATCGCCAAGCGAGTCACAAACTGACGTGGAAGTGGGCCGATACCCCCGTTCCAAAAAAAAAGTGCAAGATTTGGTTCAGGTCACAAAAAAAAATTATGCTAAAATGGGAGTTTAAATGGTCTCAAATTTAATTTTTGAAATTTCCATCTTAATTTTGCTTTGAGATTCGTACCCAATCAAGATAAATTTTTGTGGATATATAAATGCTCAAAATAAATCATCAATCAATAAAGATTATGACTATATCTTATAAGACAATTTAGTTGCCTTAGATGAATAATATTCTATGAACTGAGAAACATTCAAAGTGTGTTGATCGTTTTGATCTTTACAAATGTTATAAACCTAATAATCATGAATAAAAAATTTGACACTCATCTCTCCCATCCCCCACCATCAAAATTTAACGCCTCGGAATAAAATTTATAAGAATTATATATTTTCTCTTCATAATTAATCAACCATAGCTTCTATAAATTATCAAAATAATAAATCTATATTTAGTGAAAGCAACTAACAGTTGCATATCTAAAAAAACAGCACTATATTCATTCTTCCAAACTCAATATATAATAGCCCGATGTTAGTACAATTACTATTCTATTACAAGCTCCTCTACACAAGAATAAAAGAAAAATACATAATAAAATCTAAAAAGAATTAAGGATCTTTGACAATCTAATTTTGTCTGATCCTGATTCATTCTCTGATATAAAATTATTAAAATTCACATAATGAATTCAAAAGACCAACATTAATCCAAAATTCGTTAATGCTTTCAACATAATGACTAAAGAATCAATATGAAATGCTTAATCTAATATAATCAACAATAGTCAATACAATTAATAACCAAATATCATTAATAAAACTCAAAATGATAAATAATAAAAGTAGGGAATCATTGCAATAAATCTAAGAATCAATTATTATTATAAAATTCAATAAATCGGTAAAACAATAATGAAAAAATAATTCATAAAATCACTAAAGGAATCGATCTTATCTATTCATATGCATCATCTGTTTATATATTATTAATGCATTCAATACTATCAATGATACTAATGTATCTATTAATGTCATCAATGTTATCAATATATGCATGCATCAATATATGATTTAGCAAGGCACGACATCCAATTTTAATGTGGTATTTTCATAATCTTTTATCCCAACTTATTCTCATTTGTTTATCAGTCATATCAATTATCGGTTATCCAATTAATCAAATATCATTACATGTGACTTTATTATATCAATAAAGATACGTCACTCTCTACCCGTCGGTGTAGTTAGTTATTTATTACAGACTATAATTAGGATAACATCACAAACTATATTTAAAAAAAAAAAGTATGTTGGCCCACCCTCCTTTGTAGGGTATTATGTTTTAACAAACAATTTATTTTATATGTTAACAAGCCTTTCTTGTTTATGCAGATGTCATAATCAAAATGCAGTAGGAAATCATCAATTCTATTCAATACAAGAAAAATTATATAATAATCAAAATCATTTAAAACTAAAATGAGATTTGAGTTACTTAAAACAAACAGAAGAAATTGATGAATAAAATTGATAGATATAAAACCCCCAAAAAAATAAAAAATAAAAAAGCCCGAACAACCTTCTCTCTGGGCACGTCACTAAAATTTTGATTATTACAAAAAAAAAATCTAGAATAAGTACTCAAAATGACTAGAGTAGTTGTAACGATAACATATAAAAAATTACATGAATAAAAGTTATTAGAATCGGATAAAACTATATTTATGTATAACCAAATTATAAATTTGATCGAAATTTTTTAAAAAAATACTAAATTTTTAAAAGAGTAAATAAGCAAAACGTAACCTACTTCGAGATGAACAAATTTTTCAACTCGGCTGACAAACAAAAATGCCTCTATAATTGCCAAATACTAACTTTTCTTTTCTCTCTCATCTCTTTTTCTCATTTTTTTTCTTTTTTCCCTTCTCTACTTCTCTGGCTTGAGAAACAAATGAAAAAAAAATGAGCTAATGGCTTTTAATAATATTTTTATGATAAAATATCTTGAGCGACATGTAGGTACAGAGAACAAATCATGGGGCCTAGCCTAATTGAAAAAATTCACTAAATAGTTGGTGATACAAGAATCCTCCCTTCATCACAGCTAAAGAAGAGGGGAATATTTGAGAATAAAATTTTGATTTTACCTAAGGGAGATTACATAAATTAAATATCTCATATAGATAGTGAACACCCAACAATAAGATTTGATTTCCTTTATAAGGATTACATAAGTATGATGTCTACAAGCGGATAATATTTGAAACCCAACAGTAGAGTTAAATCTTGACAAGTGTCTGAAGATGACAGTGATTATTGATGGTGATCGTTAGTAGCAATAGTGGTTGTCTGTCCTAATAGATGGTAGTGGTCGTTGGCAATATCTGAAAAATGCAAGAGAACCCTCGGATAGGACCATATATGGTATCGTTGGGTTCGTTTCCTTGAGACATTCAGTTTGACTATAAATTTGTGAAATTTGAGTTTATATAGTATTGAATTTAACTCCAACAAGTTCCAAATCAACTTTTTTGTTTAAGTATTCATGCTAATAATGCCAATTTTTTATAGATCTATCAATTTTATCCTTGCAAATGTTATAAACTAGACAAATATTAATAATGCAAGAATATTTGATACATATCCCATCCCCCACCATCACTACCACATTAGCGTGGATAAATATGCGTGGTTACAACTCATGGGATGATATTCCTACAAAAGCATGAAAGAGAAGTGGACTGAAAGGAAAAGTGGTTTATGTATTCAATTTCAATAGGGCATAAGGAGCAAAGGATGAGATAAAATATTCCTCTTTCATATGGAATCCATAATTTTTAGCCCCCTCTTAAAACCAGCCATCCAAATGTAAAATTGCTTAGAACATATTGCTTATGCTAAATCCACTTAGCCCAATACCATCGCAGTAATGAGAGGTAAAAATCTCTTTGAAGTCCATTACACTGTTTGAAGTATCCTTGAGGTCTGTATGTTACATCTTGTAATTTTTGATATTGTGTGAACTCTATGTTGAGAGATTTAGGCACTATTTGGTTGGAACTATTCTTAATGTATTGCATTTCAAATGCATATATCACTACGGGAAAACACGCGATTACCGTCGGAATTTCCGGCGGATATTGTTGGGCCGGTAAGCACGGCGCAGGTAACGGCGCATTATTGTGCCGGAAAACCTACGGCGGTTTTTCCGGCGACAACGACGCCGAAAATGTTCCGGCGATATTTGCGCAGGTAAATGCGTCGGAACAAACCAATTGCTCACTATTTTCGTCGCACTTTAAGGCAAAAAATCACCGGCGCCATTACCGGCGGATATTACGCCGGGGTATTTAAACTCAACGAAACTAAACCGGCGCATGTTGCGCCGGAATAATCTTCGGCGTCGGATCCGCCGGAAAATCCGCCGGCGAAAGCCCATTTTTCAGAAACCGAGCTTCTCTGGCTCATCACTTCTTTCCTTCCATTCTCTCACCTCGCCCGTAGATCGCCGTCACCCTCCGTCGCTCGCCCGTAGATCGCCGTCGCTCGCCCGTAGATCGTCGTCGCTCGCCCGTAGATCACCGTCGCCGACGGTCAGAGGAGTTTGCCGACGAGTCTCATAGCTTTTGTGGTCGATTCACCGTCGACGGTCGTTCATCTTCGTCGACGGAAGGTTTATTTTTTCATTTCTTTTGAAGAAATTTTTTCCTATTTTAGTTGGATTACATATATTAGGTTTAAGAACATATCTCTTTTGCTTTAGCCATGAATTTCTTTTTTGCTTTAGTCATGGATGTTCTAACCATACATTTGCAAGAGGATTGTATGCTTTTTGCTTTAGCCATGGATGTTCTTACCATACATTTCCAAGATAGATGGTCTTGATATCTCCAAGTGTCGATTTAGGTAGTGGGAAGGTAGTACTAGCCTTTGGAATGCTTAATCATATTGAGAATAAGTGTACGTCTATTATGGAAGCTATACATTTTTTGAGAATAAGTATCTATTATGGACACTTATAGAGAGAGTAAGGAGGATCTACATATGTTGTGTTTAAACACATTGCATGCATGTGCATGCTTTGACCAAATATTTTCTATTTCAGTTGGATTACATCAAGGATCATAGCCCATATCTTTTTTTCTTTATCCATGGTGAAATATAGAGTGAATAAGAAGGATTTACATATGATACTTATTGAATTAGAAAAAAACATATGATAAAGTTCAAAGAGAAGTGCTATGGAGAGTTAATTTTAGAAAAAAAAAAACATGTTATTAGTAGAATTCAAGTTGGTTGGTTAAAGTGGAGGAATACATCAAACATGTTGTGTGATAGAAAAGGACCATTTAAACCTGTAGGTAAAATTCTATAAATGATGGTGAGACTTGCAATGCTTTATGTCACATAATGTTGGCCATTAAAAGAGAAGTAAAAAATTAAGAGATGAGGATGCTCAAGTGCCTGAGTGTCTTTACTCTTAGAGACAATGCTGAAATGCCTCAGGCCTATTGTTGA